CATGGGTCCATGGTGGCAGCCAGGAACCCAGCTGCTCCAGGAGGACGCACCCTCCTGCACCATGGCTTGGGGACTCTGCAGAGCTGAGAAACCACAAATGAGCCTTGAGGCGCTGTGCGGGTGCAATAGGACCCAGGGCTCTGCAGAGTGTGAGGCTCCCGGCTAACCCAGCCCCAGAGCCACCTGAGGTGGGGGACCGTCCCCACTCCACTACAGCCCAGAAACGAGGCAGCCTGCGTGCGTTCACAGCCATGGGTGACGCTGCTCACGGCTCTCAGGCAGTCACTGAGGTCCCCTCCTGGAAATAGGAGGCCAAGCAAAGCACAGAGAAGTGAGGCCACTTTGCCAGGGTCCACAGCCAGGCAGGGCAGCGCTGGGCTCAGCTCCTCTCTGAGGTCAGCCTTCCCTTCCACTCCCACCCAGAGACCACGGGCTTGGGGGAAGGACTCGGGGATGCCAGTGAGGGGGACCTTCCTCACTGGTAGCCGAAAGGAGACAGACCTGGGAGCAGAGGGTGACCAGAGGTCCCATCTTACAGTGGGCACTGTGAGAGCCTCAGTCATGCTGTGAAGGCAGTGCTGGCCAGGTGACCTGACTGGTGACCCTCGGGCTCCAGCCCCTTCCTTCCCTCCAGCCCCTACCCGATCTCAGGGACAGCCTCCATCAGGGCTCCAGCATCATAGTGTAGTCAGAGTGGCCCAACTCACCTCCCCTGCCGGAGTGCTGGCCATGCTCCTGTACCCACCTGGTCACCGGCCACTCCCTGGGCTCCCTCTGCCTGCGCTGTGGGGTCTTCAGCCCAGCAGAGGGGTGGGCAGAGGCTAGAAGCTGGAATGGGGTAGCGGGGTCGTAGTTCCCCCTGCTCCTGGTTCCTTGGTGGGATGGGGCCTGGTGCAGGGCAGGGCAGGACAAGGACAGAACGGTTCCCACCCAGGTCCCATCCACCCAGCCACGCTGCTCATGTCTGGCCCATCTGAGCGGGCTTCTATTTCCTGCCCAGACCTTAATTCTTACAGCAAATAAAGCTCAGGCCAAATCCCTGTTCCACCACCTTCCCTTACCCCTCCCCACCACCGGTGTAAACAAAGGCAGCTGTGTGACAGTGCCCTCGGTCCCCCACACACCTCACGGTGCAGGCTCCCAGATGCTCAGCCTGGATCCCGTGGGCCAGGGCAGTTGGCTCTGCTCGAAGGCCATGTGAAGGCCCAGCGCAGCCCACCCCGTCACTGTAAACGCCGGCGGCACTGCCTGGGCCTGCAGAACCTGGCCCTGGGCCTCTTGATGAGGACCAGAGAGCCAAGCCCTCACCATTTGGCAGCCCAGGGCCATCTTCATGTGCTTCGAACCTGCACCGAAAGCGTCCCTGCCGGGCAGCAATCTCATGCCGTTTCCAGAAATGAGCTGTGTTTGTCCCCCTTTGCACCATCCACTCGACAAAGCAAGCTTCAGTTCATGGGCCCAAGACCACAGCCATCAGGGAGTGTGGCTCACACAGGTGCGGATGACCAGGGGCCGTGTCACCCACACCTGTGACAGGGACATCAGCCTCCCCGTGTGTGGGCAGGGCTCAGACGAGATGACAGTCATATTGCGGACTCTTCAACCCACTCAAGGGTGTCCATGCGCAGCTCAGGAAGCAGCGTGTGGCCCCGAGTCCGAGGACAGGACTGAATCCGAGCATGGCCAGACAGGACTCCTCGGTGCCTGCTAGGCCCCAGGGTGCACTGGCCAGCCAGAGGGACAGTCACATCCCGAGACCAGCTCGGACCCAGAGCCAGATAAAATAAGACGCCTCTGAAGAGTCCTCTGTCCTTGGAAAAGTGGCAGAAGCAAAGTTCTCAGGGCTGGCACAGTCTCCTAGGATTCCCCCGCAAAGTCTCGTAAGTTTCATTATAATAATTCGAAAATAATTTATCCCGTGTGAGCTCACTAGGAAAACAGATTCTTTCAAACATCAGCTTTTGAGTTGATACAAAGGGGCTCAGCCCCTGACCCAAGTCCCCCATGTGCAAAAGGGGTGGATTTCTGAACATTTCCATGCACAGAACAAGTCCATCTGTATGTACACGTGTACTAACATGTACGCACGCGTGCAGATGTGCACACGCTTCTCAATCACCACGCGTCTGCCCATCATGCCCCACGGCCTGACTGACGTACTCATCGGGAGGACCCACTTTCAGGTCAAGAGGAGAAGCAGCTTGCTCCGGGGTACCCGGGGAGCCGAGGTTCCGTGTCACTTAAGAGTAGAGACCACTCCTGGGTCTCACTGATCCGAAAGTCTGGGTAAACACAGAGAGCTGGACATGGAGATCAGAGGCCACTATGTTTCTTCAGCAGGAAGCAATACGCGCTGCGGTGCCCAGAACTGTACTCTAAGCCTGGGAAAGTAGGGATTAGATAGAATTTCTCTTCAGAGAGAGTGAAGGTCTGGAGTAGATACATGTCTAGCATTTTTCTAGCCTCAAAAGTAAAGCTCATGCTTTTTGAATTATACTCTAAAATGTTCTATATATATATTTTGAGACAAGGTCTCACTATGTAGCCCAGGCTGGCCTGGCACTCACGGTGATCCTCCTGCCTCAGCCTCCTGAGTACTGAGATTACAAGCGTGTGTCACTATACCAAGCTGAAACATAATTTTTTTTAAAGAACAGCATTAAAGTATTTGCGTCTCTAACAAAGTTACCACTAACAAGCAAAAACACACAAGACAGGAAAGAAAAAAATAAAAACATTCAACATAGCAGAATGGCTCGTCCTCCTGTCAGCACGTGGAGGGGTCCCCCATCTGCACCCAGCTTTCCCCCTCGGAAGCCAGACCCTCCAAGCCTCGGGCCTGACAGCCTCCTAGGGTCCAGGCCCCCTTTCCCTGTCCTCTGTTTACTTCCCCAATAATCCACTGAACCAGCCGCTGAGAGGTTAAAGCATAACAACTTTATTCACGGAGGCTGCAGCCTGGGGTACAGGACAGCCAGGGACAGCCCTGCTACCTCATTTCAAGTGAACCGCACACCCGGACCGCCCCGCTGGGGGCTCAGCAGAGCCCTCTAAATCCAGGCCCCTGCAGCTCACCTAAGTCCTGTGGCCCTGCCTGCCTGGGCAGAGCCCATCCCAGAAGTGTCCAGGAGTTCTCAGAAAGCCACCTCTGTTTCTGCAAGGTGTGAGGCTCTGATGCCCCCTGGAGCGTCCTTTACAGCACCCTGAGCAGCAAGCCCACCGGCTCAGGGCATCCTGGGAAGGACTGAACCCTTCCTGGAGGCCCAAGAGCCCTGAGGACTTCTGCCTCCCCTACAGCAGATTCAGCAAAGGCTCCTCGAGGTTCAAGGACTCAAGCTTCAAATTCACAGGAGCTGGCCCCTAGAGACACCCCCAGGGTCTGGGAGGACGTCTCCCAGGGCTGCTCATGCTGGCTGGACCAGGGAGCCTCTCCATGTCTTACCCAGGCCATAGCCGACCGACCTCCCATAGCCCAGGAGGCTCCCAGGTGTCTGTCCAAGGTCAGCCCACACTGCAGGGATGCAGAGGCTGGGAAGGAGGCTGGGCATGCAGAAGGCCCGGAGGGGCACCCTCCCCTGTCCTCCCCGCACCACAGTGACAGCCAGTTCCGCCCTTTCCGACCTTCACCCAGGCCACTGCTTTCCGTGTCTCACTCTGGCTTTGGTTTTCGTTTTTTTGGCCTAAATGAGGTCCTTCATTACAGGATTCTGGAAAATGCTGTCAAAACCAAACCTAGAGCTTGACAAGCCATGCTAATGAGCTCTGAGGCTGTCTGTGCCGCATCCCCCCACCCTCCCCAAGACCCCTGAAATCTTTTGATCCCTTAAAGAGAAAGCAAAAAACTGGGGTTTGAGCTACCCAGGTCCAGATGCCGTGGAATACGTACTGAGGAGCTACCGAGAAAGGTGCCGGGGTGCCCCTACTAGGGGTTACCAGTGCACCTGGCTAGACAGCCACGAGTCCTTAAAGGAAAAAGAGTCCAGTATTTAGGCAAAGAATAACCTGTGTTTCCTTTACTGTCCAGAAAGAAATTAAGAGGAAAATTCTCCGTGTAAAAAGCTACTCGGCGTTTTCTTGATCTGCACCTTAGCCTGGGGCTTACATGCTAACCAGGGCCTATGCCACCCTGGGGCCCTTGCCCTGAAGAGGGGACTGAGCTGGATGCACCCACCACGCAGGCGCCCAGCGTCACACCGTGCTTCCTGGTAGGAAAGACCCCAGGGCCTTGGGTGCTGCTCTCGGGGTGCCCTTTGGGCCTCGGTGCGGGCACATGGAGATCGCAGCATCAGGCGCCCCTAAGCTCAGGGGGTCCTGGGCGTGCCCGCGGTGGACCTTTGCAGCGCCCAAGTGGCCCACAGGAAGGGGTCTTGCAGTCCCCACCGCCGCTGCCTGCTGTAGGGAATCAAGTCCCCTTCGAAGGAGACTGGGAGCGCGCCCACTTGCCCGCAGCAGCGCTGCTCAGAACCCACGCGTGAAGCCAGCGAAGATCATTTGCAGAAAGACATGCGCCCTCCCCTAGCCGGTGGGCGCCCGGCGAGGCTCTGAACAGACTCCAGGCGTGGGCAGGGAAGGAGCGCGCCGCTGGCTTACTGGAAGGGGAGCGTCGGGTCGGGGAGCTGCAGAGGGAAGTAGGTGAGGAAAGGGATCCCCAGCTGGTAGAAACCGCCCTGGACGTGCGGGTCCAGCATAAGGGAGGCGCTGAAAGGCGGCCGGAGTCCCGAGGAGGTGGCCAAGAGCGCGGAGCCCAGCGCTCCGGGGCCCGGCTTGGCGGCCCCCAGGACCTCGCTCCCTCCGGCCAGCTTCTGGCCCTGCCTTCCCGCCAGGATGCTGTCGATGCTGAAGCTCTTGGACCTGTCGGAGCTCTTGGGAGAGCCGGAGGCGGGGCGCGGAGGGGACCCCGAGCCAGCCACCGTGCGCGCGGGCGCGGGCGCGGGCGCGGGCGCTGGCGCTGCCAGGCTGACAGCGGCGGCCGCTGCGCCCTGAACTGCGTCGCCGGCGTCCTCGTCCAGGGACGCAGGCCCGGGCCAGGGCAGGGGCGCGGTCGCCGAGCGGCTTTCCCCGAGGGGCGAGGGGCGCGGGGCGGCCGCGCGCTCCTCCCCGCTCCCCGCCTGCGGCTGCGCCTCGGCGCCGAGCTCCTGCTGCTCCGCGCGGGCCCGCTTGGCCTCCGGGGTCCCGGCTCTGGGCTTGGGCTTCCTCTTCCTGCGCCGGTAGTTGCCGTTCTCGAACATGTCCAGGCAGCGAGGGTCCAGCGTCCAGTAGCTGCCCTTGCCCGGCCGCCCCTTCTCGCGCGGCACCTTGACGAAGCACTCGTTGAGTGAGAGGTTGTGGCGGATGGAGTTCTGCCAGCCCTGCCGATTGTCGTGATAGAAGGGGAAGCGGTCCATGATGAACTGGTAGATGCCGTTCAGCGTGACCCTCTGCTCCGGCGCGTCCTGGATGGCCATGGCGATGAGCGCGATGTAACTGTAGGGCGGTTTCTGGGGCGGCTCGGCCCGGCCCGAGGCCGCCAGGGCAGCCGCAGGGGCGAAGGCCAGCGGCAGCCCGGGTCTCTCCGGGCCGTACAGATACAGCATAGGCGAGGCGGCCAGAGTTGGCAGCCGCGAACCAAAAAGGTGGCTCATGGCGAGCGAGGAGCCGGCACGCAGACCGCGCCAGGCGACCGGGAGGGTTAGGGACAGCGCCCTGCGCGAGGGCCCTCCGGGGGAGCCCTCCGTGCCTCTGCCCTGGGCTCTGCCGCTCTCCTCAGCCGCTGCACGCTCTGTCCCTTCTTCATGGCTTTAAAAATGTTAAATAATTGTTGTAAGTTTGCTATTATATGTTGACTTAGCCCTGGAAAATAAATTGTCTATGATAAACAGTCGTTACGTTCTCAGCCCACCCACATTAATTAAAATTTCATTGCTGAAAAACTCCAAGCTTTTCCCTCCACGTGTCTTTTTGATACCAGCCAATCGTTTTCGGGGCTATTCCTTCATTTGTTTATAGAATTAGTCTGTTGATAAGTCCGCCCACCCAAGTTGAATCAAGCTGTGTTTATTTGGAAAAATTTCCGGGCACCCAATATATAAACGCACTGATCTGATGTTTGAAATATCACGTCCACCCCTTGCCGCTGTAAGCACACACAGTCAGCGAGGCAGGATGTGCACCCTCCAAGCCGGTCTGCGGGGCCAGGGAGGAGGGATGGAGCTGGGGGTGGGGACGCAGGCCGGGTTTTACTGCTAGCTGGGGGAGCCCCATAACTTGGAGCCTCCCACAAAAGGTCTTTTCTTCTTCTCCGCCTAGAAGATGTGGAGATAGCCCTGCCCCGCAAATGCTTGCTGTAGTCCTTGAAACCTTTTATTCCCCGAGGGGAGAAGGCAGGCTAGGAGGTGGGACCCCTGATGCTTAGGGGCAGTGCAGTCCCCCTGGAGAGGTTCTGGGTCACCAGCTGCCCTGTCCCAGGCAGGTACTCTCCAGGGACCCACTAGCCCAGGGTCCCGAGGGTCACGGACAGGGAGTGGACCCCAGGAGCTCAGCCTCTCCAGAGGGGATGCTGAACCCGGTCCAGAGCTCCCTTGAGGAAATTCAGAATGAACCTGTGTGGAGCCGGGGGCAGCAGTGAGGTCTCTCTGGTGGGGCCCAGGTCGCCAGCAAGGAGCACCATAAAAGGGGAATCTGGCAGCTGGCGGGGGAGAGTGGCTATTTGTGAATGCGGGTCTTTTGCTTTATATTCTGTGCTTTCCTGTTTATAACAAGGAGGGGGGGTTATAACAACTTTACAAGTGCGCGCAGCTGGCCCATGATTACATTAAGCGTTTGGGAAGCGGGCTGCCTCCCCCACGCCCGCCCTAGGGTGCAGGCATCCCCCTGCCTTTCATGCAGCACACACTGTACTTGGGTGACGTTGACCCCACCGAGCTGTCCCCTCCACAAGTCCACCAAGGGTTGGGGGGCAGGTGTGTAGCATGACCATCGGGGTTTCTGATCTCCGCAGGGTATTCTTCTAGAGGAAGAAAGAAAACACTGCAGATGACCGACCTGGCACCTCCCTGAGTGCAGTGGGAGCCTGCCAATGCCCAGGAAAGGGGAGAGGTAGGCAGGTGGCCACCGAAGTGCCCAGGTCCGGCCCTGCTGGAGGGGACTGAGGAGGACGCTAATGGTGCCGTCCTAGTCAAGGGGCTGGGATACTGCCCACGCCCCGGCGGCCTCCCCACCCGGGAACTCGGGGGAGCCGCCCCTTCCCAGAGGAGGAATCCAGAAAGTGCTCAGGACTGGGGGCCTCTGAAGCTCCGCCCTGTGGAACCTACAGACTGGGAGCAGAGGGCAAGTTTTAAATATCAAAAAGGAAGTCAGGGCTGGGGTCAGAAACCCGCTTTGGGGCAGGACCCTGCGGGGCAGGCCCTGAGATGCCTCTAGGTCTCCCCGTTAACACTGGTGGGGTCCTGGAGGTGGCCTGGCCTGGCCTGGCCCACAGAGGGCGAGACGTTGTCCTCTCCGAACCCTCTGCAACGGGGCACCCTTTTCAACCCTGGGGCCAAATAAGGAGACTTGGTGCCCACACCATTGCGCGCCAGGACCCCGGGGTCACTCAGCGTTCCAGGTCGACAGCTCCAGCGAACCCCAGGCGTGGACGGACCCTGCTCCCAGCTCCCAGCCTCTGCACCCAGTCTGACAGACCCTGGCCCCAAGACAAACCGGTGTCACGATGCAGCCCCCTCCCTCACCTCGGCGCCTCGAAGCCCCTCTTGGAGCGCGCGGGGCACCCCAAGTCCAGCGCGCACAGCCCTGCCTCTTGGGAGACACGCAGATCCGGGCGCACCTCGCGAACTCTAAGGCACATCGGAGCTCGCAGGGAGCTGGAGGCGGGCGGGGATCGCGGCGGGTGGGCGGGGCGCCGCGGTGGGGGGACCGGGCCGGATCGGTCTGGTCTGCAATTGGGAGGCGCGCGCGGCCCGCATTGGCAGGGCCGTGCAAGGTTCCTGGGAGTCCCAGCCCGGAATGCGGCCACACCGGGCCGGCTGGAGGCGGGCTTGGGTCCCGGGTTCCCAGGGGAGCCGCCCGCGCCGGGCAGATTTGCACGTTTCCGGGGAGCGGGGCCCCGCCTGGAGCCGGAGCGGATGCGCCCTCGTGCGGAAGCTGCGGGCTGAGGCCGGCGCAGGCCGGGGTGCAGCCTCGTCTGGGCGACGGCGGGCGCGCGGTGTCCCCAGAGCCAGCCGAGGACGCGGACAGCTCCTCGAGGCCCACTGGTCCCCGGACCCGAACCGGGAGGCGTCTCCGCAGTCCAGGGTTGCGAGCGCATCTCCCACCCGTGGGAAAGCCTGAGGCCTCCTCGCCTGTCCGGGCGCCCAGGGACTGTGCCGCCCCTGACTCTGGGCCCGGGCAGACGGAGGGTCCAGCGCGGGCGGAGGACAGGCGCCACCGTCCCGACCCGGACAGAGCTGATGCGCGCTCCTCGGGGAGGCTGGGAGGAGCGAGGCCTGCGGGGCGGTGGGCTGAGGTCCAGGCTCCTCCCTCCCCAGCGTCCACGCCCCCTGCGCACGCGTCCACACCAGCGTCAATCTCGCCTCCGAACCTCTGCATCCCGGTCCCTGAACGCTGAAGGCCGTTGGCCAGTCGGATACGGACAGGGTGCCACACAGAGGGCTCGCCACGTGTGAATGTGGTTGAGTGGAGCCCGGTGGGACACCTAGAGGCGCTGGGGGTGGACCCGACTCTCTGAAATGCCCTGCGTGAGGCCCTGTGCTGGCACTGGGTTCAGAGCACAAGTGAAGTCCCTACCCTCGCTGCAGCTCTCAGGAATGGGGGTCCTCGACCCTATCCTGCAGAAGGAAGCTGAGGCTTGGGAGGGGGCCTGGGTCTCCGTGAGGAAGGGTGCCAAAGACAGAAGACAAGCACACTGAGACAGCTCCCAAGCAGGACCTCTCTCCCTGACCCACGCAGCCCCTGTCAAACGCAGATCCACCCACTATACAGATGTGAAGACTGAGACTCGGCACCGCACACTGCAAGACCAGAGAACTGCAAAGGACTGAACGAGAATCCCAAAACCACAAGGCTCCAAAAGCAGAGCTCAGGAGGAAAGGCTGACGGATCACCTGTCAGAGTAGACCACAGGGCCCGCTGCAGACTGAAGCGTGCGCTGTACCCCAGCACTGGAGACTGGGAATCCGGATCTTCCCTTAGAGCCAAGAGTCCCTCTCTTTCTCCCCCGCCCCGCTTCCTGAACCTCCTGCAGCATATTCTGCTGCTTCTGGTGGTGGTAGGGGGGGGGGGAGCTGGGGCTGCCCAGCCCGATGGGTGAATGGGAACGTGGAGCCGGGCAGGGCTTTCCTAGCAATGCCCGAGTATTTATAGCTCACCTTGTTCCCAGAAATGATTGAAAAGCTCCAAGCGATCACTGCCCTGCCCAGCTGGTAAAGGAGTCAGCTGAGACCCAGCGAACCTTCCGTGTGGTTCTGCAGGGAACCCTAGCTGCTCGCTAGGGACAGACTCTGTTAGGGTCCTGGGCCCTCGGCTTACCCCACCATCCTCTCATTTTCCCCCTGAGAAACTGACCCAGAGAGCTCAAGGTAAGAGGTGCAATCACAGGAGAACCCCACGTGGCCTTTGCAAGGTCCTGAGTGAGTACTGGGTGTGAGCTGAGCCTCAGGGACACAGACTCAGGTGGAGAGAAAGGCCACGTGGGAAACACCTGAGCCACAGGAGAATCGGGCCACAGGGCCGGCTATGCTGGATCGGAGGGGCCTCTCTGGCCTTTGGGCTTTCCCAGCCAGGACTTTGGTCCTCAGCGACAGAGTTACACCCCAGGACAAGACAGAATCCCCCACCACCCACTGGCCAGCTCCATTCTCCTAAAGCCCCCAAGAGGCCAGCACCTTTGGGGACCCTGTGCCTCCTCCACACACCTACGCCCCAGGAAGCAGCCCCCAAGCCTGACGCTGGGAGAGCCCAGCACCCAGGGACTCGGCTCCCCCTGTCCTTCCTGTAGGGCAGAAGGGTTGAAAAAGTCCAGAGGAGCCGGCCTGTGTCTTCCCAGGCACAGCCCTGTCGGTCCCGAGGAAGGGGGACAGAGGGACTGGGACCCTCTGAAATGGCCCACCTCCTCCCTTGCACGCCTGTGTTAAAAAGCAAACATTTCAAATGCCTTGGTGAGCGGAGGCCATGCGAGACAGAGGCGGACAGGGAATGCTGCTCTGGGAAGTTTGGGAAAGCATTTCAAGTATGTGGTGTCAGAAAGCACTCCGGAGGGTGGACAGCCCTCAGTGGCCCTGACCCAGCCTGTCCCCTTCACCTGGAACAGCACGCAGGTCCTCCTACCCCCGAAACCCTAACAGAACTCCGGCTAAGGCACAGGACTACAGGCTTCTACTCACCCAGCTTTGGTGCCCAGCAGTCAGAGGGCCCCGAGGGCCGGGCGCAGGCTCTGAGACCCCAGCCCTTCTGCAGACCCCGAGTTTTGGTTAACAGTACATTCTCATCAGATAACCCTGCCCCAAGTCCCTCCCCTTTCTCAGATTCCGAGGGGACAGGAATCTTGGGAGGGGGGCTGGGAACAGCTTTGTGTCCTTCAGTGTAGCTGGCAGTGCTGGCAGCGCCCCCAGGCCTGGTGGGAAGAGAGGAGGGGAGGACCCCGAAAGATTTATGAGCCCTGTACTTGAGTTCCCAGGACCCTCTGTGTTCCTCTCCCTTCTCATCTCCATTTCTTGCAGGGGGGTAGGGAGCAAGGGTCCTTCAGGGGGTCCCTGGCCAGCCCCACGTGGAAGTTTAGGGTGGCCGCGGTCACCATAAAGGGGGGCTGGGAGAGGACGCTTGTCTCCGCAGGCAGATGGAGCCTTCGGATGAAGTCCTTGTCCAGTGCCCAAGCGATTCAGGACAGGGCTGAGCCAGGGCAGTGGGTGGCACCTGGACGCAGACCCAAAGGCCCTCTGAGAGCCACACAGCAGACCCTGCTGCCCATCTTCCTGCACATCTGAGGTTGGAGTGCAGCCTTCTAGCCCCCTGGAAACAGGGAACAGGGCCACTGCCGCCACCACCACCCTGAGGGGCTGGGGGGGGGTGAAGGGTGCACAGGGCGTCTGTCACAGCTGGACTCTGGTCAGGCACAGTACACACACCCAGGGCCGGCAGGGCCCTCAGGGTGGACCCGGGAGGAGCCCTCCCTGCAGTGGTGTTGAGGTCGCTTTCATTTTATTTGGGAGGTTTGCGATCTGTGCAGAGGTGTCTTCCTGCTGGGTGGTCGTGGGACAGGCTTCCAGCAAACCAAGTCGGGTGGCCTGCAGGGCCCTTCCAGCCGGGGTCTTCTTCCCCATCTTCCTGAAGGCCCGGGCATCCCCAAGAAAGAGGTGGCGAAGGAGGTGCAAGTCCCACACAAGCTGCTCCAGTGCCCAAGTCTTCCTGTCACTCCTGGTAGAAAGAGATGTGCGTGGCATGGCTGCATGTGCCATGGGTGAGCACGGCTTAGTGTCACTGAGTCCGGATCCTCTCAGGAGCAGAGGCCGCTAAATCACTAGGCCCAGGGTCAGAACTTCAGAGCTTCTGGGGCCTGGAGGCCGAGGCTGAGCCCAGCCTTCCATGCCCAGAATCCCTGGGACCCAGAATCCGGCATTTACCTGCACCCACCCGGTCATTTGACTTGAAAAAGCCTGGGGTCCCCAGCCAGGTCCCAAAGCCCCTGGCTGGACATATCCAGGGACAGGCTTTCCAGCCTGTGCACTATCAGGAGCCTTGGTCAAGCCCCAGATATAAGCTGGACTTGCCAAATTGTCAGCATTCCCACGGGAATGGGAAGACCCTCGCCAAGGGCTCCAGGTGCAGGGCAGGGGGACCCCCACCCCCAGCTGCCCACTGCCAGCCACACCTTCTCTAGGAAGTCTTCCCAGAGACACCACCACCAGAGCAGGAGCAGTACGGGGTGGGGGTCTCCCACACACCCCTTCTCCTCTCGGCAGGGGCTCGGGCCTCCTCCTCCTCCTCTTCCTCCTCTTCTGGGCACCAAGTCCCCGGTTTAGAAGGAGGGCAAACTTCTGCCGCATATCTGGAGCAGCCCTTCTCTCCTGGACCTAGGCAGGAAGTGGATGGAGCAGGCCTCGCTGAAGGGGCCTGGAGCTCCTGCCTACCCGGGGCTGGAGGCCCCCTTTCTCGGCTCCCTCCTCCTGCGCCCCAACTGTAGCACAGTGGCCCGCCCTGCCCTAAGTCAGGTCCTGGGATCCACCAAAAGTTACCGAAAGAAATGAAAGGCAGCCTTGGAGCCCTAACAGCACGCATGGGCCACGGGTGAAAGGACCCGCGTCGTGCATATGGGGAAATTCTTATGCTACGGAGAGAGGTGAAAACACTATTTCAACACCAACGACAACACCCAGATTCCACGGGGCCACTGCATGAGCAACCCCACCTCCGGCAGAACCTCATGGCCAACATGTTTAATCCACATCCGGCTCCAGGGTGGCAATGTCCAGCCCACCTGCCGGGGGCCTTGGTGCCACTGGCCCCGAAAGCCGCACTCGGAGGCCGGAGGCCGCAGGAGTTGCAGATTTCAGCCAGTGAGACCGATGAGAGACATTTCCCCAGCTAGGGTTCACGAAGGCGAGGCAGTCATCAAAAATTAAAAAGATGAGAGAATCATAACCTCCCTGTTATTCAACGCGTTAAAAGATTGGTGAAATTTAAAACCATAAAAGCATCATAAATTACATTTTGCAAGAGAACGAGGTTTGACATTTTTTCATTGCAAGGAGGGTAAAGATTTAGAAACCAAATGGAGAAGTAAAGGATTTGAACTCCACCTCCGATTTGTGGCCACCGAGAAGAGGGGCATTGAACAGTCTGGGCCGTGGGGTCCTTGCCAGCCGTCAGAATCCTCCCTGGGAAACCACTCGGGCAGAGGAGTCCACCGCATGGTAGGAAATCACGGAGCAGACGGCAGGACTCGCCCGGTTAGCAAATGGGGAATGTTTGTCCTGCCCCTTCCACCTCCCAAATTGGGGACAGCTGGACCCCAGTGGAGCAGCACTGTTTTGTTTTGACAATTGGCCTGTTTTCCTGCATTTCACAAAACTCATGACAGCAAGTGGTCAGCGCCTCGTCCCCTAGGAAGCCCGGCACAGAACTACGGACTGATGGACACGGGAGGTTTCTCAGGCTGCCTCAAGGGAAAAGACAGAAGGAAGGAAAGAAAGATGGACCCCTGGGGTGGGAAACTGAGCAAAAGCCTTTTCTGCCACCAAAAGACAGGACAGGGACACACTCCCTTCCTGGGTCGCCACCTGTGTAGCAAAAAATAGTCACAACAGGTGGGTTTGCAGACACTTTGGGTGTTTTGGGGTTTTGTTTTAATGCAAGAACACAAGCACGCGATTTGAGCTTTGGGCAGAAAAACAATACGGGTTTATTTTAAGGTAAATACAACAATTAAGACCACGTAAGACAAATACAGATGAAATTTAAATTTTCTGGTTTTCTTTTTCTTTTAGGAATACTGGGCTGGAATGTACTATACAAAACCATCCGACTTTGTAAATACAAAGTATCAGATACTTGACTTCTTTATCCACCAACAAAAAATAAATTACCTTCTTGTTTTGTGAAAGTCCTACAGCTGGGGAAACGATCATAGGTCACCCACCTAGGTTTCTCGAATTCAATTTGACAGAAATGGGTGGGCAAGATGAAAAATTATCCAGTGAACTCAACTTTAAATATTATATTAATGGCTCTGAACACAACAACAAAAATAGCCTGATTACAAGTCCTCACATTTTTACAGCACGGATAAGAGAAATTTAAAATTACACACAGCACACACATTATCTATAGGGACCCCACACACCTACGGGGTTCGCTCCAGAGAGTCGTTCTGGGTCGCTATGGGGTCTGCCCCATAACTTAATTTTTGAAGCTCCCGGGGGTGGCGCGCAGCCTCCTGAAAGGCAGGGGCTTTGGATCAATATTCATCTCGCTGGCTGCTTTCCTGGAGCGGGGCTTTGCTGGGGTCCCAGAAACGGGGCGCCGGGCGGGGCACAGTTACCTTCGCGCTTCACAGCCGGCTCCGGGCCTGGGAGGTCAGGGCAGCTTTGGCTCCTCCGCAGCCTGGCGCTGCGCTCAGAGGTCTCGCGGGGCGGGGCCGGGTCAGTACTTGGAGCAGTCGTAGGAGTAGGGGGCCGCGTGGCGGTACAGGGACGGCGTGGCCCGGTAGGGTAGCTGACAGCTCGCGTTGCCGACCTGGGACTCCCCGAGCGCCGAGTTTTCCATGCTCAGCCGGTGCGAGTTAAACATCTCCCGGACATTTGGGAAGGGCTGCTGCTGGGCCGCGAACGCGTGCCCGGGGAGGTGGTTTAGGTCCCCGCCGTGGTTCAGGTACCAGGAGGCTGCCTGGGCGGCGGGGGCGCCCGGCTGCTGCGCGGGCTGCGGCGGCGCCTGCGGGTGGTGGTGGCCGGGGTGCGGGTGCGGGTGCGGGTGCGGGTGCTGGTGGTGGTGGCCCGCGGCGGCGAGCGCGCCCTCCTGGCCGGCTGCGAGGTTGAGCGCGCTCAGCGGCGACGCGGGGCCGCTCTGGTGGTCCGAGAGCGGCTCGTCCAGGGCGGGCGGAGCGCACACGTGTGCGGGCCGCTCGGCGCCGGTGTACAGGCTCATGGCGCGCATGCTGCACTGGTAGCCGCCCGCGGCCCCGGCCTCCAGCCCCTGCGCGCACGGCTGCCCGTAGGAGGCGGGCGGCGCGGCGGCGGAGTAGGGCAGCGCGAGCGGCGGCACGGAGAGGCCAGTGCGCGCGGCTGCGGGGCTCAGCTCGGGCCCGGGCGGCGACGATCGCAGCGTCATGATGTTCTCCACGCTGAAGCCGGGCAGCCCGTTGGGCGCGGCGGCGGCGTGGTGCGCGGGCGGCGAGCCGTCGGGGGAGCCGACCGGAGAGGACGCGGCGCTGCGCGGGCTGCCCTGCAACGCGCTCTCGGGGCTCAGCGTCTCCACCTTGGTGATGACCGGCAGCGTGGGCGACGCCGCCTCGCTCTTGATCACCACCTTGCGCTCGGCCTCCTTGGGGGCGTCGGCGAGGGGCGGCCCGGCCTGGGCACCCTTGGCCGCGGCGGGGGGCGGCTCCTTGGGCGCGGCGCGCTCCTCCTTCTCACGGGGCACGTCCTTCTTCTTGAAGCGCCGGCGCCGCCGCAGGAAGCTGCCGTTCTCGAACATGTTGTAGGAGTCCGGGTCCAGCGTCCAGTAGCTGCCCTTGCCCGGCTTCTTGTCGTCGCGCGGCACCTTGACGAAGCACTCGTTGAGCGAGAGGTTGTGGCGGATGGAGTTCTGCCAGCCCTGCTTGTTCTCCCGGTAGAAGGGGAAGCGGTCCATGATGAACTGGTAGATGCCGTTCAGCGTGATCTTCTTCTCGGGCGCGTTCTGGATCGCCATGGTGATGAGCGCGATGTAGCTGTAGGGCGGCTTCACCAGGTCCTTGGGCGCCGCGGGCTGGTGGTGATGGTAGGGCGCGTAGGCGCGGCCCACGCCCGCGCCGTACTGCTCCGGGTGGCCGGAGTAGACGCCCATGGGCCCGGCCATGCCGCCGTAGCCGCCCGCCGCGCGGTAGTAGTTCTGCTCGCCCAAGTAGGGCACCACTCCCAGGGCGCTGGGGTCCGGCACGGAGTAGCGCGCCTGCATGCTGCGTGGCCACCGCTGCGCGCGGGCCGCGGCCGGGGAGGAGGCCTGGAGCGCGCGGGACAGCGCCGGCGGGGAGCCCGGGCCCGGCGGCGGCCTCGGCCTGGCGGAGCGCGGCGCGGCGGCTCAGCGCCCCGGGCGGTTCAGCATCCTGGAGCGCGCGCCCGGGGCCCGGCGGGGGGCGGCCGGGCGGCGGCGGGGACGCCACGCGCGCAGGGACGCGGCGGGGTCCTGGGCGCGCGCGGAGGGGGCCGGTGGCTCTCCAGGCGCGCCTGCGAGTCGGCGGCCCCGAGGGTGGGAGCCGGGGGCCGCAGGAGCGCCTGCCCGGCCGAGCCCGGAAAAGAGGCGAAGGTCCCTTTTAGGGATTGGGAAAAGTTTCAAAAGTCTTCTTGCTGAAAGCCAGTTTTTACTTTCCGCAGGCCCCGCCCTCTCCCGGAACTTCGGCCCAATCCGCGGGCGGCTGCGGAGAGCGGGAGCCAATCAGGGCGAGGCGCGCCCGAACCCGGCGGCCCTAAGACCCAGCCGCGCGCTCCGGTCCCGGACGGCTCTGCCTGCGCCCGCACAGTTGTCTGGAAAATGGGGGTAACGGCGCGGTGGGGTTCTCACCCGCGCGCCTGGGCTCAGGGGCCCACGGGCCACGCAAACAAACTAACCACCGACAAAAAAGCACCACAGACGTTTTCTGCAAAAACAAAACCTGTAATATAAAATGGAACGGTTCGCGGCGACCGCCTGCGCCAGGGCGCGGGTGATGCGCGGTCCTCGCCGCGGGGCCCAGGCGAACCGGGCCAAGCGCACGCGCTGGGCGGCACCGAGGGGTGTCGCGGGCGTGGGTCCCCACCGAGCCGGCCGCGTCCGGCGGGCTGCGCCGTCGGGGACGTCGAGGCCGGCGCTGGTGGAGGCGCGGGCTGCGTGGGAAGCGACAGCGGGCGCGCGGGCAGGGTCCCCGCTCCTCCCTCCTCCGCGCGTCGCCCTCCACCGCGGTAAACAACCCCTTGGACCTGCGGCCCCTGCTGTCCCGAAAGACCCGCACAGCGACGAGCCCGGGCCCCGGGGCCGACCCTGGGGACAAACCCGAGCCCCGTCGGCGGGGACCGGGACACACCGCGCGCTGCACTCGGGGCGCCAACGCCCGCGGACGGGACGGGGCGCGCCCACGGGACCCTGTCCGCTTCGGCCTCTCCTGCTCGGCTGGGATTTGGAAACCGAGCCGGGATCGAGCTCCCTGGGGCCGGGGGAGCCCCTGCAGGCGTTCCCGGGATTTGCTGTCCGCAGCCCCGACTGCGGCGGCCGCGGTGTGCGGTTGTCCAAGCCGCCGCCCCCGCCAGGAGCCCCGCGGGCAGCCTGCTCATCGGGGCACCGGCCTTTTAGGCCTTCGACACCTCGAATGATCGGACCCCGCGTCGCCCACTGGCGCACAGCCCCGGGGCCCGGCCGGGCTGCTCGCTCGCTCGCCTCGCGGGGCGAAGGCCGCAGGTGGAGCTCGGCGCCCGGCGCGGGCCTGGCCGCAGCCTCGCTCGGTGCGTGAAGGCCGGGGGAGGATGTTCACCAAGCACCTTGGTCGCCTGCAACGCTCAGAATGAAAAGGAACACAGCCAGGCTCCTGCACCTCCGCCGCTCCACTTCGCCCTCCGAAACTCTGTAGTTTCGCGGGCGTGCTGCGCGCTCTGACTCCATCGTTCTTCCCTTTCGCGACAAAGTAGAGGGCCGCTGCCGCGCTGCCTCCCGGGGAGACGCCGCGAGACCTGCCCTCACCCGCATTCCCGGGACAGCTTTGTTATTTTTAATAGCTCCCCTGTTGTCACACGTTTGCTTTTAAATACTAAATTCTGTAGAGAAAAAAAAGAAGCCTGCCTTTCTCCAGCACGGGCGACCGCGTGCTGGGCTCCCCGCACGATTTCCAGAAGCGCTGCTGCCTGGGCTGTGGGCTTCCCGGAGGAGGAGGAGGAAGGGCAAGGGGTCCCCCTGCCTCTGCGAGGGTGCGTGCACAGGTGTGCATGTGTGTATTCGTGCGCACGTGTGTGCGTGCACGGGTGGCGTTCGTGTGCATGTGTGCGTGTGAGCATAAGTGTGCGGCTGTGAAATGCTTTATCACCATCAGGGCACAACCCAAAGGAGCTAAAAACTACAAGACAGCTCCCGAGGAGGCCCCATCCTGTAGGGCACCGCACCAGCAAGGTCCGCAGCCCGACGGCTCCGCCGCGCTCCGGGACTCTGGAGCGGGGTCCATCTAGGCTCAGGACACGCAGCGTCCCACGCGCCCACGCGCCCCACGCCTGGCGCCCTCTCTCGGTGACGGCGAGCGGGGCAGCGTCGGGTCCCCTGGCCTGCGAGTCGCTACGGTAACAAGAGGACCAGGCCGAGCCCCGCGCTCCCCTTTCATCCCCTCCCTTCCCCTTCCAGTCCCTTGGTGTCCAGGGCGCCCGGCGCCTTCCCTGCAGGCGCAGAAGTGTCCGTGGGCGTGGGCGCCTCCTGGCGGCGTGCGCGGGAACTGCTCGCGGAAGCCGGCCGCGCGGTTCCTGGGAAGGTGCTGCCCCCTGGCGGAAGACGCGGGCGGCGAGGCGCGCTGGGCCGCTCCGCACTGGCCCAATCCGCCCACAGCACCTTGTGCCTTTCTCCTTGGAATTAGGGGAAGGGCGCCGAGGGCAGGGCTGCTCCAGGTCCCAGGAGCGCTGGGATCTCACCCTTGGGCAGCAGAAATAAAAAACCCGCAGGTTGATGGGCGTGGGAGTGCGTGCCTGTGATCCCAGCACTCGGGAGGCTGATGCGGGAGGGTTGCGAGTTCGAGCTTAGCCTGAACACTTTAACAACTTAGTGAGGTCCTGCCTCAAAAATCCAAAAACATTAAGCGCTGGAGATGTTTGTGTGAAAACCTTGGGTTAAATCCCCGTCTCCCCACAAATCCATGGTCATTTGGACCCTAGAAATTATCTTTTGCAAGACAGAGGACGCGTTCCTGATGGAAACAGCTCCAGGTCGTTTTATTGAGCACTGCTGCCGACGCTGTGGAGCACCACTCCAGAGGCTGCAGACAGGACAGCAGTGCGGAGGCGGCTCCTAGGTGAAAGGCACAGTGAGCTGGCCGTGGTGGGCATGCCCGCCCGTAATGCCAGCGCTCGGAAGGCTGAGGCAAGACTGGTGAATTCAAGGGCAGCCTGGGCTGCAGAGTGAGACCCTGTCTCAAAACATCAACCCCCGAAAGTGCAAGGTGTGTGTGTCCCAAGTGGGTGAAGCTCGAATGATGACAGCGCAGGATGGGTGGCCAGGCAGGAACACGTCCATCTGGAGGAGGAGGACAATGGTGTCCTCGCCACCCCTGCAACTTTAAGTGACTCAGCCAGGTCGGGGGACGAAGGGGGCGGGCGGGTGACCACCTGCCGACCTGTGGCTCTTGCAGTCTTTCCGGAAGTTAGACGTTTTTCAACATAAAAATGTGGTGGCAGAGCATTTCTGCTGGTTACTCTGGAAGTGTAAAAAAACCCAAGAAGGGACACAGCCGAAGCCCACAGAAAGGACATTCAAGCCGAGTAGGGAAGGTCCGACCAGGCCAGGGGCCCTCACTTCTGGATGTTTCTAGAAAACAACCACGATGCACTGTGGCTTGCACCCTGGCACCTCACGGTTCCTTTTAAAACGCAGATTCTCCACAGTGCTGCTCCATTCTGTAATTCAAGCATTGCCACAGAAAACACAAAAGATGCAGGATGACCGAAGACAGGGAGCCGCACCCCTCCCAGGCATCTGCAGCCACACCTGCCTCTGGCATCTCCATGGTGTCCAGAACCCAGGTCACCACCCGTGCTGTGCACCTGCCCACTGACTGACTGACTGACTGGCCAGGCCGCAGTAACAAACACCACATCCCCTGCTGGGGCCTGAGGCGGCGACCGGGCCTGACCAGGCTGCCCCTCCTCACGGTCACTTAGGGGCCTGGCTCTCTGTGGGCACTCGGCCCCACTCCCCTGCCCCTGCCCTGTGGCTCTGTCTCCGTGGCTCAAGGGCAGAACTGGTCCTGTCCCCGACCTCGCTGGGGGACAGAAGATCCAGTCTTCTCCCTGCCCAGGTGGGCAGCCAGGGTGGCTTCTGGGCTGCTAAGTCTGCCTGCCCAGTGTGTCCCGTGCCCAGGTGGCAGTGGTACCATCCCCCCTGCAGCGCTGACCCCCAGTGCCTAGCAGCTGCCCGGTGTCTACCAAATGAGCCCAACATCCCCCTTAACCCTCTTGGGGTGCGGGGCTAGGGATAGCATTGTCTTTCCACTGGGGAAACTGAGGCTCGGAGGTCTTAAATACCTACCTGGGGATAGCAATGGGCCCTTAACTCTGGCCTCGCAGGCTCTTCGAGGCCAAGGCTCAGAGCGTTGGAACTGAGAGGCAGAAGTAGCTAAAACAGAGGCTCCTGCCTCAGTGGCAACCCCTCTGTACACCACGGCGGCAGGGGAGCACTCAAAGCCCAGGGATGAACATAGGCGGCTGCCCCAGGCTCGTCCTGGGCACCTACAAAGTAGTCTGGTCTTGAGAGATTGAGATCAGGGCCTCTGTTGTGCGGATGGGGCTGGGCAATGGTGCTCTGAGGCCCAGGGACTGAGCAGGACCCAAACCCCGATCCTGGAAGCTTCTGCCAGGACCTTACTGGCCGTCACCCGGGTCTCCTTGGCAGCGGCTGAGTGCTGCACAGCGGGACCTGCAGGGGCCAGAGGAAGCAGGGCCACGGTGACCCCAAAAACTGCCACTCATGGTCCCTGGCCTCAGCCCTGTGCCGCCTGGGGGCTTCCCTGCTGTTCGAGTGACCCTGGATGCTGGCTCTGCACCCCCTCCTCCCTGCACTGTCCTCCTGCATCCAGGGTGGCACTGAACTCGGGTGCAATGGGGTCGCACCTGCCCGCCTGTTGAAGCCCGGGACTGGGCTGAGCACTGACTGTGCTCTGGGAAGACAGCCCAGGCAGAGGAGTCTCGGGCCTTCCCCAACACCCCTCACCCTGCCCCGGCCTGGCCTCACCGCCCCCGTTCTCCAGGCCGATGCTGAGCTGCTTGGGCCTCTGGCCTACACTGTGGCCCCATGGAGGGGACGGAGGCCACCCCAAACCCCTCCATTCAGACCACAAAGGAGCTGTCCAGGGCCCTGCCTGCCTGAGTCCCCACCTCCCGGCTCCAACAGTGCGCTGTTCCTGCTCCATGGAGGGAGCTGCAGGCTGGGACTCACCCTCTGGGCCAGCACCTGTGCCCAGGGTGTGCTGAGCAGGTGAGAGCAGACTGGGGCGGCAGGCACAGGAGAGGCACTCGTGTGTCCCCAGCAGCTGCCCAGCGAGCCGGGCCTTGACGCTGCACAGAAGACTTCTGCTCAGGGGTCTGTCTCCTCACACTTGGGGTGTGCGGGGTTAGCACACGCAAAGACCCCCGCGGCGCTGTGAGGCGTCCCCCTGTGTAAACGTGCAGATGGAGAACGGCCGAGCCCTAGAGGTCCCCCAAGAGCTTGGTGTGGTTACAGACAGGGCTCCCAGACCCTACCTTGCTGTTAGGAGGCGGATGGGAAGGGACTAACCCGCCCCCCACACCTGCCCCACTCTGCTTCCGGGGGGGGGGGGGACCGTGCCCTTCTTACAGGGCCGCAGCCGACCATGGACTGTGCCAAATAAAGCTCCCCTGGGGGTGCTGGGTATGTCGTCCCAGTTATAAGAAAGCAGCTGGGACAAGGGACGACATGTCACCTTCTAGCCATGTATGTGTCGCAGCCACCGTATTTCTGACCATGAAAGAGCACTTCCAGACCTGCCTCGGAGAGGCCAGGCCCAAGGGGCCCTGAACCTGCGCAGCTCGGGGACGCTGAGGGTTCAGGCAGGCCTTCCCTGGAGGCCTGTTTTACACACTCGCGCCGAGGCTTTCCTGGCCCCTGTGCAGCCCGGCTCCTCGTCCTGCTCACTTCTGCCTGCTCCTCTAAGCTCCTCGCAGCCGGCTCGGAGGAGCTCACAGTGCTCACCAGCAAACGAGTGTGACAAAGTTTAAAACCCCAAGCGCGCCGCCTAGAGGCGCTTAGTCCTGGGAGCCGCGGCCCTGCGGCAGCCGGAGCTGAGCCAGTGCACCGCGGTGCGGCAGGTCCCAGCGTCCCTTCGGGAAGGACGTGGGCTCCCAAGCCGGGCAGGGAGGGCAGCGAGGCCCCGCACTGTGCCTGTGGCCAAGGACATGCAACAGGCCGCGGGCGGGTGTGCCCGACTCCCGGCCTTCTGCCAAGACGGAGACGCCGCGTTTGCCAAGGGAGCGGTGGAGGACTAGGAGGGCGCACGGTCTCAGGGCGGGGAGGCCGTCCCGGGCCACACCGCGAAGGTGGACACGGCTCCACCAGGGTCCACCAGGTCGGGTCTCCAATGGGGGGGAAATCAGGGCCGGCTTCCCGGGAAAGGCGGCCTCTGGGGTCTGGATAGGAAGTGGGCAGGCAGAGGCCGTTAGCCTGGACATCCCGGAGGCCCGCAGGGCGCCCGCCCCAGACACCGCTGGCATCGCTCCCCGCAGGTTCCAGCCGCTGGGCATGACCGGCTTGCCTAGGCGCCTCCGCGCCGTCTGCGCGTGCGCGTCGCGGTCCTTCCCGCCGAGGCCCCGCCTCCCGGGCAGTGCGCAGGCGTGGCCTTGCGCGCGGCAGTGACGTCACCACGCGCAGACTCCGCCCGAGAGGCGTCGCAGAGTGACGGCGTCGCCATGGAGCCCAGGGCGGGTGAGGGGTGCAGCGGGAGGGGAGGGCAAAGGAGGGGCGCGGTGCGGGGACCCCGGGATGGTGGCGCTAGAAGGGCTTGCGGGCTGCGACCCACCGTCTGGGAAAAGATTCCGGAAAGAACGAGCCAGGCAGGGAGGCGCACGCCTGTAACCCCAGCTCCGGAAGGCTGAGGCAGGAGGGTCGCGAGTTCGAGCCCAGCCTGCGCGGCTCTACTGGACGCTGGGTAGAAACAAAACCTAAGCCCTCGAAGATGACCACACAGGCCCTCTGCCCCCGCGGCGGAGCTCAGGGCTGCGCTGGTGTGTGGCCACCCCACCCCGGAGACCAGTTCACGGCATCGGACTGCACGGAGCACAGGCGCACACGCATGGCGGGGCAGGGACCAGGAGACCCGGCTGCCTGGATGGACAGGGCTGCCGGCTGGGCTTGGCACACGTGACAGCTCGCCCTGGCCCTGCACCTGAGTACCCCTACCCCACCCCACCCTGGAGCGCAGGGCTTTCGGGGCAACAGAGCAGGGCCAGGGCCGCTGCCCCAGCTCCGGGCAGTGGGGGTTCTGGTCGGTGAGTGCGCGAAGCAGACCGACCCTGTCCTGAGCGTCTGTCTGTCTGTCCGGCGACAGTGCTGCGGGGCAAACAGGGAGACCCCAAGGCCCCAGGTCCCGCACCCTCAGCCCAAGGGGCATCGAAGGTGCCAGGTGCCTGCCGTGTGCAGCCTGAGCTCGCAGTCCCCAGGCTCCCAGCATGGGACCCGGCCGGGTCTGTCCTGTGGCCATCTGCACTGCGACCCCAGGTTGGCGGTGGTGTCTGGGGCTCCCAACCTGGTAAACCCCTCCCTGCCTGGCTGTTGACCGCAGCCCTTTGTGCCGCAGGGGTCTCCAAGCAGGACATCCGGGAGCAGATCTGGAATCACATGGAGGCTCAGGACATCGCCGACTTTCCACGGCCTGTTCACCACAGAATCCCCAACTTCAAGGTAGCAGCCTTTCTGGGGCCTCCTGAGTTAGGGACTTGCTGGAGGTGGCCCAAGGGGCTCTGGGCCACACACCCTCCCCCACCTCTGCTGTGGTGTGCAGGGCTGTGTTCCTGGCGCTGTGCTGACTTCTGTTGGGTACAAAGCAGTGTTTCGCTGTTTTGTTTTATTTTGTTGCAGTTCCGGGGCTGAAACCCGGGGCCTTCGCACCCTTCTCAGTTTGAGATAGAGCCTTACTAGGTCTGGGCTGGGCTGGAACCTAGAATCCTCCGGCCTCGGCCTCCTGACATCAGCCAGAAGCACGTTGGTGCTATGATGCTGTCCACAGAACTGGTCCCCCTGTGGTCAGTGTGGAGTGGAGCCCTCAGAAAAGAGCCCAGCCCCCAGTGGCTTGGGAAGAAAGCATGGCTTGCCAACGCTGGGCCTCAGTTTCTCCACTGTTCAAAAACCAAGACAACACAAGGTGTCCCATCACAGGAGTTCTCATAGGAAAACGAAACAGCATAGCAGCGTGTAACCACCGGCTGCAAACTTTCCAAGAAAAAGGAAAAGCTTTGAAATCATGTGGATTGCTGTGCTGGGCCTGAAGGGCCCACGACTCCCCGGCAGCCCCGAGGCTGGACTCTGTCCCCAAGCTCTGGTCCTCACTGGGCCCTGGCCAGGGGGCTTCTGGGACCAGCCTCCCTGCTTTGAAAGCAGTTTTTTTTGTGTGGCTTTGTCTTGCTGTGTTGTTCCCCACTTGTTACCCCAGGGAGGGAAAAGTGTGTGAGTTACAGGGAAGAGGAAGATCAGAGTCAATGGAACATCTTTAAAAAATGGATCACCTGAGCCAGACACGGCACACGCCTGGCTTCCCAGCACTCGGGAGGCCGAGGCAGGAGGGTCTCTGTGAGTTAAGAAGCCAGCCCAGAAAGGGGGCGGTTCAGAGTGAGTTTTAGGCCAGCATGAAACCAAGGCCAAACAAAACAAGGCAATAGTAAATAAGTAAGTAAATAATAAAATGTGCCATCTCCACCCGGACCTGGGCGGGGTATGTGTTTAGTGACTGCGCCTCTGTGCCTCAGACCTGCCCTCTCCCTGCGGTCTGTGCCTTAGGTCAGTGATCTGTAATAAATGATGCTAGTTAACGCTCATTAGTAAAGGAAATACTAGTAATTGTACTAGTAATAATGTTTTAAACAGTTCTCTATAAGACAAAGCCGAAAAGAGTGCATTCAAGTACTGGCCCTGACCAGCCTAACAGCGCAGACAGAATGTTTGCTCTTCGTGCTGAAGTGGACTGTGTCGTTACAGTATCATTTTCCCTTTAGCCAATAATGCCGCCAAGAGTGTGCTGCCTGGGTTGACTGCCACCTCTGCCCGGCCCCATCTCAGCTGTGCCGCTGGCTGGAGACCACCAGCCACGGGCCACCCTCGGGTGACAGCCACGTCCCTCGTTTGCACAGGGTGCATCCAGAGCCGCAGAGCACCTCCCTGGCCTGCAGGAGTTCAGAGCGGCCAGGACCGTCAAAGTCAACCCCGACGCACCCCAGAGCAATGCCCGCCTCCTCGTGCTCCGAGTAAGTGTCCCTCTGTCCGCTGTCTCCCCGACCAGGGCTCTTACCTGGCTGGCCAGAGACTCCGGGACCTGGAGGTTTTTGCCAGGACACAGGAAGTGAAGGTGGACCCTGACAAACCGCTGGAAGGCGTACGGCTGCTGGCCTTGCAGGTAACCCAATCTGGCCGGGCGCCACCCGCCACTGACCACTTTTGACTACTGCAAGGCAGCCCCCCCAGCTCTCTCCCTGGGCCTCCGTCAGCCCCCTTGGGTCCCAGTCTCCCCGAGCCACATGCTCGGAGCCTTAGGGTTAGAGTTACAGTAGAACTTGGGCTGGTTTCTCTTGCTGCATTAGAGTGCAGATCCCTGACACATGGTAACTTTATAATAGAATGTTTTGAAACACAGTAACTTTGTGATAGAGTCCTCTGAGACCAGTTCCTCCCTAAGAAATCTGGTTCCTGTGATTCTCAGCTTAAATGTGTGCTCCCTTTTTAAAGAAAGGAAGCAAGAATTCTCCCCCAGTTGATGTAAATGGGTGAGTTCCAGTCCTCATTAACCTGTGCACAGAAGTCAGCGCGCACTGGAACAAGCTAAGTGACTTTGTAAAAAGCAGAGTCTGCTGGGACAAAACCACAAAGACAGAAACATCAGGAGACCCCACCCATTCAGTGGAACGCTTGTTCAGAGCTCCACCCACCACCCTTTATTTTTTATTTCAAGACAGGGTCTCACTAAGCTGCCCGGGCTGGGCTTGGTCTTGTGATGCTCCTGCCTCAGCCTCCCAGAGCGCTGGGATCACGGGTGGGCACCACTGCGCCTGCAAGCAAAGCGGCCCCGGGGCCCCACTGAGGCTCAGTCAGGGCTCCGGGCAGGGCAGGAGCGGGCCAGGCCGGAGGCTGAGGACCCCGGGCTCCCGGAGGGGCACCGCAGCCTGGAGCTGGCCGGCCCGGGGTGCACCAGACGGTCCCGCGTGAGGTTTTAACTTTGTCGTCTTCTGATTGTCTTCTTGGAAGAGCAAAAAAACACTGCTGGTTCCAACTCCGCGGCTGAGATCGGGGCTGTTTAACAGGATCACCCCGCCGCCCGGGGCCAGCGGCCAGGCGCTGCGGAGATGCGCCACCGCCCAGGTAAGCCACTGAGTCCCGCCGGGAGCCGCGTGCGTGAGCCGCCCGCAGGGGACGTTTCCCAGCTCGGTCCCGCCGTGTGAACTTTCCTGTTAAAGGGAACCGGAAACCCGGGCGGCCGGGACGCGGGCGCCCTCTAGTGTCGCTCGTGCGCGCCGCTGCCCCGGCAGCCCTGGACCGAACCGAACCTCCGAACTCAGGTCCGGAACCCAGTCCGGAACCTCCGGCCCCTTCCAAAGGCAGCTGACGGTGGTGGCCTGAGCCAGGGTCCTCCAGGGCCTCAGCCTCCTCAAACCAAACTGCTGACCTTAGCTGAGCATGACCGACAGACGGGAGAACAGTTAATACAACCTGCTGGCCTTTTTAAGAACCCTAAATTCCAGGCCACTTGTTCCTAACCTACTGGGAACAAATAATAATAATAATAATAATAATAATAATAATAATAATGTAATTCAAGATAGTCCTTAATTAGGAATTTGTCCCTTGAGTGTAATATATGAGGGTGATTTATTATTCCCTGGGGCCCTGTCTTGTTCAAAACATAGAATTTAATGAGGCTTCACGATTAGACAGTAAGCTCAGTGCGTGTGTGTGAATAAGGTAACACACGTGAAGGCAGGAAAATCGGCCTCGTGGCCCCTGAGGGCTGCTGGGGCCCCACACTGAGCCCACATCCCAGCCCCTGCCCCTCCTATGCCCAGAGGTGATCCGGCCTGGGAGACGCCCCCGGGGTACCCGTGGGCTGCACTGAGAGAGTCCCGTGCGTACCCCAGTGTAAACCAACCTGGCCCAGTGTGTTTCGGTTAGTGACACTGCCCTGTGGAGAGGCCCCGGCCCCCAGGCTTTATACCAAGTGTGGGGTGGTGGTCACCTCACCAGCAGTGTCCCCCATGTCACACATGCTGCTGCTGAGTCCCAGCCCATCTCTGAGGCAGGGCCTCCCCATCTTACAGGGCCAGAGGTGAGGGATCTGGGCAGCCAGGCCCAGGCCACTGCTGGGGCCCCGCCTGTGTCAGGCCTACAAGGCCAGTGACAGCTGACCGCTAGGTGTCAGTGTCCTGTGACTGTGCTTGCTCCCCGTGTCACCTTCCCCGGAAGGACACGAGGTGGGGGGCACATACCCGACAGTGGCCTTTCGAGGCTGTGGCAGGGTGGCAGGGGTCCAGCCTGCTGCCCCTGACCTGGCCACGAGGAGCCCACTCAGCCTGCGCCTCCCCTAGGGCGTGAGGGACTTCAGCACCCCCGTGGGCCTGGACTCCAGCGTCCTCGTGGACTTGGTGGTTGTGGGCTCTGTGGCCGTTTCTGAGCGAGGTAAGCCCACAGAGCTGCGGCTGGGGGTGGGGGGCTGCTGTCCAGGCTGCCGTCCTCCCTGTGCCCGCCTAGCCCTGCAGGGTTTGCAGAGGACACTGCTCCCTTGGGGTGCAAGCCTGTGGACTGAGGCGCGCAGCTTGGGGAGGGCGTCGGGGCTCAGCAGAGGGCCCCTGCTGGGTTCTGAGCCCGCAGGAAGGGGTCCCCCAGCCCTGCCCAGGAGGCAGGCAACTCAGGCCTGGTTTTCTGTGGCCAGGGTCCGCTCGCCCGCCTTGTGCCTGCTTTCCCAGCCCCCTGGACCCCACTGCCCTTCCGGGGCTTTGGGCCCTGGTGCTCCTGACACGTGTCTCCTACGTCCCTGCTCTGCACCCTCCGGGGACCCGTAGCCTCCCACAGTGTCCCCTCCTGGGTAGCCTCGGGCCCACTTGGCCTGTAGAGGCTCTGGACACTGTTGGAGGGGACGCAGGGCCAGTGGAGGAGGCCCAGCATCAGTGTGGGTGGGCTTTCGGCAGAGGCCCCTCTGGAAGGAGCGTCCTTCCCAGCTCGGGAAGGTAGTCCCGAGCAGAGGACAGTCTCGGAATTCATCCTTCTGGTCACCTCGGCTTAAACTGACAACACAGCCATGCTGGGGGTGGGAGCTGAAGGTTGTGGAGGGCTCTGCCCACACCCGTTCCCTGGTGGGGCCACAGGCGAGCCAGCACTGGGCCTTGGTGTCCACTGGGTCTCCCCCTTCCCTGCTTCCCTGGAGGCAGTGTGGGCTCTGTGCCCAGCCATGGGCCCCTGACCCTGCTCCTCTGGACACCGTGGCCTCCATCACCCACTGGGGCTGAGTCACTGCGTGGTGGCCTCCCGTGGACACAGCTGGATGAGGTGTCGCCTGGGTACTGCGGCGGTTGACGGGAGCCTTCTAGGAGGGCAGCTGCCGGCTTAGCCTGGAGGACAGGGGCCGCATCGCCCCCGGAGAGGCTCCTGCACGCCCCTGCCCGGCTTCCATCCCTGCTCCTCGCTGAGCGCAGACTGGCGCAGCCCGGAGCCTGCTCCCTCCCGCCGTGATTCGCATTCGGCCCTGAGTGGCCCGCCTGGCCTGTCATCACCCTGCTGTCCACTGCTTGGCCCCAGGCTGTCTCTCCTGCTCTCATCCCCACGAGTGCACTGCTGGTGGCCGAGGCGTCCACACTGTCGCAGTCCGACAGGACAGCGTGGCAGCACCGGGGAGGTGGAGGCCATCCTGCTGCCCCCTAGGCCCTGGCCCTCTGGCACAGGAGACCCGGAGCCCGGCATGGCCCCACCCTGTCCACCGTGCAGGGCTGTGCGCTACAGGCCCTGGCCCCGCTCGAGCCCCGGCCCAGCCACTGTGTCACCACGCGTCGCCTGGCCTGGCCTCGGAGCTTTTGCTTGCCTTCTGCGATAGAAGGGTTACAAAAACTTTGCTTGCGGTAGGATCCGTTTGGCAGTCTCTCCTCACGGCTTTGAGGCGTGAGGCTTGCTGACTGGAAGCCACCAGTGCGAGCTCAGGTGTCCTGGTGGCTGGACAGGCCCCGGGCCGCTGCCTGGTGTTTTAGCCCCGCGCACCTCGGCACCGCAGGTGCTGCCTGCGCTGATTCCTGGGCTGCGTGTGAGGTTTCTATGGAAACTGCAGGGGGGCGGGGGCCTTGGTTCCAGGTCCCCTCTCCTGCCAGGCCGCACACAGACACCATCCTCGCTCTGTCCCTCAGGCTGGAGGATCGGGAAGGGAGAAGGCTACGCGGACCTGGAATACGCCATGATGGTGTCCATGGGAGCTGTCAGCGAGAGGACGCCCGTGGTCACCATCGTCCATGACTGCCAGGTGCGTCCTGAGCCTCCTGTGGCGGGGCTGGGCAGCTGGTCATCCGTGCCCTGGGGGAGCCCCTGACCAGCTCCATGTGGTCATCAGCCATGTGGTCTCCCCCAGCTCTTCACCCCTTCCCCACCAGGTCCTGGACTTCCCTGAAGCCCTCCTCGAGGACCATGACCTCACGGTTGACTACATCCTCACCCCGACCAGGGTCATTGCCACAGGCTGTGAGCGTCCAAAGCCAGCAGGCATCATATGGTCCAAGGTGGGTGCCCACTGAGCCAGCCTGGAGTCCTGCAGCAGCCCCTCGAATGGTGGGCCCTGCGTGGCGTGGCCCAGCCTGGCCCACACAGGAATGCCCTGCAGAACTTTGGGTGAAGGCAGTGCCCGCTTGCATTGGCAGCCTGAGGTGCCACCTGCAGACCCAGACGCTGACAGCAGCAGGTGGCAGCTGTGCCCTGTGGATGGCAGAGGTGACCCGACCAGGAGGGCAGCATCTCGGCCTCCAGCAGCTGCTGTCCACTCTTTAGTGCTGTCCCCGCATCCCCCATGACTTGATCTGCTGGCCACGTCCGCAGTCCTTCCGCAGGAATAGCCAGGCACCCCACAGCAGAGCCTGCAGGCACAGAGGGTGGGGACCAGAGAGCCTCTCAGACCCACGGCCTCGTGGCTTTCTCTGCTGCCCAGGTCTCCCACGCGGGCGGTCAGTCTGCCTAGGAGTCTGTCCCTGAAGACGGCTGGCAGCCCATGATGCTGTCTGGTGGTGAACAGCCAGCACCACTGAGAAAACGGAGAAGCCGTGCTTGGTGGGAAAAGCGCGATTCCCAGGCTCTCCCCTAAACTGAGATCCCCGAGTCTGGACCTGTGGGAAATCAGCACCCACCTCCAAAGATAAGCAGGACCCAAAGTGCTGGGCGCTGTGGCCTTGGCAGGCGGGCAGTGCCTTCACCTGCAGTGCTGGGGGCCGGGTCCTTCTGGGTCAGCCAAGAACAGCCGAGGGCAGTGGCCAGTGCAGACAGGAAGGAGACCACCAGCCCTGCCGAGGGCACCAGGAATGCCAGGGCCAAGCTGTCTGCGCCTTCCTGGAAATCGAGATGGCCCTGGGTGTCCTTCCAAAGAGCTTGGGTCCCCTCAGAATTTGGGGTGGAGGCTCTGTCCTCCCTACAGCAGAGGGCAGTCCTGAGAGCAGAGTCTTCGGGGGACACCCTGGCAGGAAGAGTCCAGGCCTGCCAGGACAGAGGCGTGGGGTCACTGGTCACACCCTGCAGATCTTCCTGAGAGCCAGCTTGGTGTCCCTGAACCTGTCAGGCCTGCGCTGTGGGTCACAGAGGCCTGGCTTGCAGGAGGGGCGTGGATCAGAGGGGGCGCAGCCGCCTTGCTCTTGGGAGGTGGGGTGTGGCCAGAAGAGGCAGCCTCCTCAGGCCGTGAGGCAAGTGACCAGGATAGTGCGTGACCCCCCCGGTACCTTTGGGCAGAACTGGGCCCACTGGGCCTCCCCAGCTGCCCAGCACCAGAGCCCCACTTTCACTCTGTTTCGCCCCATCCGGGAGACGTCAGTGACCAGAACCCGAGTCTGTGGTGGTGGGTCCCTGCCCTCAGCCTTTGCCCAGTGGCCACCCCCGTGTGGACCCTGTGTCCCTCCTCACTTTCCCGTCACTGCCATGCAGTACCTGATGCCCACCACAGACAGGACCGGGCCTGGGGGCTCAAGGAGGCAGGGGCTGCTTCCAGGCTGGAAGGACTGGGCCAGGAGGACAGCAGGGCCAGGAGGGCCGGCAGGCGGGGAGGAGCAGGAGGGGGATGGGCAGCCCAGGCCCCGCCCCTGCCCAGCGGGCCCCGCCCCCACCGGCACCTTTGGAAGCCCTGCCTGTGGGACCACCAGGGCCTCTCCATCCTGGGCCTGTTTCGGTGGCGTTCTGCATGCAGCAAAGTGGATTTTCATTGACATTTATTAGGAAAAAGCACTTCAAGTTCCAGTAAAGAGAGCAGGCAGGGGAGGAGGGGACAGTTGGGCGCAGAGTTCCAGTGTCCCGTCCAGTTGGCCGCGGGTAGAGTTGTGGCCACGTGAGCAGCTGCCTTCCTGTCTGCGTGGTGCATCTGGACACCCGGGGCGGCAGGGGAAGCCGACGGGGAACCTGCCCTCCCTGTACCGGTCTCAGGTCCTGGCCCTGATCTGCCTTCCCCAGATTCCAGGCCGTCCAGGATGGCACTGCCCTGTTCCCAGGTCCACCTCAAGTGTCCAGCCTGTGCTTAGCTGCTGCTTGGAAACGTTAGCTGGCCTCTGTCGTCACGGACCAGAGCACATAGCCCCTCGGTGAGAGCGAGCCCTGCTGGACTGTGGCAGGGAGCCCTCCTTGAGGACACAGGTCCACTGCTGCAGTCAGGGACAGCTGTCCTGGTGTGCTTGCTGCTGTGAGGCGTCCTGAGGCTCTGAGGTCCTGGAGCCCAAGCAGGTGTCCCCGTGCAGGTGTCTATGATGCCAGAGATCGGCCTCAGAGACTCCTGCAGCAGTGTCTGTCCAGCCTCAGGGCCCAGTGGGGGACAGGTGGGCAGAAGGTCAAGGTGCAGCCTGCCCTGCACCCCACAGAAGGCGGCTTGCGAGCAGCAGCCCCTCGGAGCCCTTCCTGCCCCAGGACCAAGGACAGCTGTGAGGAGCTGCACTGCGGCAAGGGGCCGCTGCCCAAGGCCATAGGAGAGCCAGGGCGGCGTGGAGGCAGCACCCCTGCCGCGTTCCTGTGCCCGACCTTGCTCCCCCGCCATCTGGGCCACGGTTCACCTTGGCCATGGGGAAGGCTTTGGAGGCATTTTCATCAATGAATGCTAAACTCTCATCCTGAGCGAGGAGCTGATCATTCTGGGCTTGGGTTCTTGCATTCTCAGCTTGGCAGCTGAGTGCTGGGCTCCGGATTCTGACCCACCTTGGCCTGACTGGCATCCTCACGACTGAGCAAAGAGGGATTTTGTTTAGCAGACAGCGAGCTGTGCATCAGGGTATCTTTTAGAGAATGCAGTGGTTACTTTAGAAGGGTGAAAATGTTGCATTATCGCATTGAGTATTGTAATCCAAGTATTGTGGTCTTTTCTAATAGTCCTCACAGTTCAGAAAGTTACATTTGTAACCCCACTGACATGTAATTGGAATTGGCTAAAGACACCAAGACAGATTCGGAGCTACAGGCAGTCACAGGGTCCTCAGCCCAGGCCCCGTGAGCATGTGGACAGAGGCCTGATCCGAGGCTGTCCTGGAACTTGCGATCTTGTGGAGAGGGAGGTGGCTGGAGTGTGACTGACAGCAGGGCGGGAGCTGCTGGAGTGACCCGAGCTGGCTGCCCAGAGGGAGCAAGGCATCTCTGCGGAGGGCTCAGCCTGCGTACTCAGCTGGGTGGCGTCTGGATGGTTTTAGGAGGCTGTTGCTTCGGGTTCCAATGTGTACACTTTGCTGCCTGGGGACTCACAGCTCTTACCGTGGGCCGTACCCAGTGACCTTCCTGGAGCCCCGGGGCTCTGCTGTCCCACCACACATCAATCTGTTACAGAGCGTGATGTGAGGAAACAGGAAACTGTCGGGTTGGCCTGCAGGATTACACACCAGTATCGGCTGGCTTTGTTTGCATCACTTAGAGCCAACTGCTGGAAAAGGGAAGCATACCAGGGTCTTCGTTAGCTTTTTCTCATTGAGACAAAATACCTGATGCCCAAAATTAGGCAAGGAAAGGCTTATTTATGTTACAGTTTTGGAGGTTTCAGTCCATACTCAGCTGGCTCCAAGGCAGGGTGGTGTGGCTGAGGGGCAGCCCTTCACTGTGGTCACAAGCACCAAGAGCAAGAGGGCCCAAGAGGAAAAAGCAGGCCTTCTCTCCTCCCTTCTAATTATACAGGCTCCGCCCCTGGGCGGGTCCAGCACACACACCACCAATCCCAGCGCTAGGCAGTGAACCAATCACAAACGCTAGATTCAGCCGCCTCCATGACTGCATGAGGCTCCAGGGGCCACCTGGACACAAACCATGACAGCGAGCTCTGCATATCAGTGTATGCAGACAAGCCTCGATTTAACTAATGTTGCAGCGGTTCTGCGTTCAAGGAGAGGTGCTCAAGTTGTCTCCTGTGTTTTACATTTGATGAACAAGCAGGACCTTTCATTCCAGAAGCAGTAACCTCACTCCAGTGTGTAGTAACCGCTGCTAACAGCAAGCCCAGAAACTCGGAGCAGCACTGTGTGGCATGCACAGGGCACTGTCCGAGTCTGCTGTCCTCGGTGGCACTGAGATCCCGACCCTGGTGCAGACACAGAGATGGAGGCAGGAGCAGCCTGCACCCTCTGCTCTAGGATGGAGGTGGGCGTGTTTCTCCTGTGAGCGCTGCGCAGGCAGTGCCTGGCCGGAGATTTCCAGCCAGCTTGGGGTGTGGTAGCGGTGTTGGCCCTGAAGAATGGACCTGTCGTTCAGGCCGAGAGTCAGAGGTGGCTTCCTGCACAGAAGCTGAGGCAGCAGGCATGCTGGGGGAGGACACTGGCTTCTCCCAGAGGGAGTCTGGCCCAGCCAGGGACCAGCCTGGAGGGAGCTTGGGGCCCAGGTCAGGGCTGCGCTGTGCTGCCAGGACCAAAGGCCAGGGCCCTGCCGCCCGGCCCGAGCCGGCCACTGCCTGCAGCTCCAGGTGACGCGCTGTCCTGCTTGCCTCCTCGGTGTGCCTTAAGTCTGATTGTCACGGGGCCTAGTGACTTCAAATCCCAAGCACTGAGCCGTGACCGTGCAGATCTGGTGACAGGCATCCCCGAGGAGACGTGACACTCAGGAGGAGGTGGCAGGGCTGTGGGGCTGCAGATTGGCTCTGGGCGCTGCCCTCCTTCCTGGTTTGCCTTCTGAGAACTGCACAGGGTGCCATGGGGCTGCGTGGCATTTGAAGAGTGGCCGGGGTGTGGCTGGGCCAGGGCCGTTACCTGACATGACCCTGCTTCCTCTGCCACTCAAGTCTACCCGTGGGCATGGGGTTGGGCTGCAAAGAAGGCCCCACGGTGCCCGCTGGGAGCCAGCTGTGCCTGGCCTCCCCAGGGACCGCGTGGCGCTCAGTACAGGGGGACGGACAGCAGGACGTGCAGAGCCTGGGCGTCTGTGTGTCCTTCCTATTTCTCAGCATGCTGGTTTGCCTCCATATTTGGGGAGGCACCGTGAACTTTTGCGGCCCTGGAAATCATGTCCAGCCCTGGGAGAGCCGTGGTCCTGGAGGAGCTGTCCTCTGGCTCCATGCTGTCGTGTCCAGATGTGCATCGGCAGAGCTGGCCCTGGAGCTTGGTGCCTTCAGCAACTGTGCCTGTGGCCCGCATGGTCCCCAGAAGGGTGACCTGCGTGGCTGAGCCCATCTGTGGGTCCCTGGCCCCCTCAGGCATCTGGCCAAGCTCAGCCCTCCCGGCTGCTGCCCTTGCGGCCCCTTGGACTTCACAGCGGGGTCTGCTGCAGGGCTCGGCCTTGGCGGGACCTCGAGCATGCTTCCTGCTGGACCCCCTTCCGCCCACTGTGCCAGCTCCCAGGAAATGCTAAGGGGTGATAGCTCCAAGAGAGCCAAGAGGCCCCTGGGTAGCAGCACCTTGCACCAGGGCAAGGCCCTGATGCTTCACACCCATAATCTCAGCTTGGGAGGCCAAGGCGGGAGGATTGCAAGTTCAGTGTTGGCTCAGCAGCGTAGCAAGTCTTGTTTTAAATAAGGGCTGAGCGTGTGGCTCAGTGGCCAGAGCTCCATTCTAGTGTGTGTGAGTCTCAAGGTCCAACATTCAACCCTGGAAAAAAGAGGAGGAACAGGATCCCCTAGATTGGCACCCAGCTTCTGTGTGGGGTTTGCTCCATGGCTTGAGCGCCTGTTGCCAGGAGTGGGGGGCAGAGGTGGCATCTGAATTCGGACAGCGTCTCCTGTGTCTCCAGCGACCCGGGGAGATGTCCCCTGGGTGTGAGAAGCCTGTGGCCCCATCCAAGGCCTCTTCCCGCCGTGGCAGAGAGGGACAGGCATGCAGGCAGCAGGTCCGCTGTCCCCAGGCCATCAGGGAGTGGCCTCTGCCCACACGCCAGGGACCAGGATCCCCCTGGGCAGAGGCCCCTTATCAGAGCCCAGCTTCCATCTTCTGTTTCCAGCCACTTTGGAGTGGGGCTTGTACAGAGCCGGTGACCGAGCCTGGTTCTCCTTGGCCAAGGCGGAGTCCACCGTGCCGCAGGCTGCACTGTCACCCCCAACCACTTCCTGGATGGAAGGTGGCAGGCGTGGGAGGGGGCACCTGGGCACATCCGAGTGCTTTCCCTTCCAGGTCAGCCCTGAGATGCTGGAGAAAATCCCCGTGCTCCGAAGTCTGCGTGACCGAGAGAGGCGGGCCGGGAAGGACGTCACCCTGCGGGCCGAGCCCCAGTGTCCAGCACCCCCACACACCGTCAGGACACCCCAGCACACGCCCCAGCTGGGGACAGGCGCTCCGGGAGCAGCCTGTGGTAGCCGTACTAGACAGGCGCGTCCTGTCCGGCACCGGCGTCTCTGATGGTGACTCCTGCTGCTGCCGCCGTCCCCTGGAGCTTGTGTGCCGTGAGCCGTGGACTAGGCCTTGCCGGGCAGCCGAGCTGTGGGTGCCCAGCCCTGTGTGCGGTGGGGCCAGGCTCCGCCCCCTGGGCACCCGGGCATCGCTGTGCCCTACCTGCGCCCAGCCTCTGTCCTGGAGCCCCTGAACCTCAACCTGGCCCGCCGGGCCCTGGCCGCAGTGGTCACTCTGCCTGTCCTCTGTCTTCCTGTTCCTTTTCACCACCTCCAGAACCCGAGGGCCCCTGTGGGTTTGGGGGATCGGATAAAAGAGGTGCAAATGGCCCTGACCCCACTTTTCAGCTCCTGTGTCCAACCCTGCCCGAGGCCAGCTCGCCCCTCAGGCTGGAGTCACTCCTGGTGCCTGGAGCCTGGCTGCTGGGTTCTTCCCCGGGGCCGGAACAAGCCAGACAGACTGACAGGCAGATAACGGGAACCGGCTTCCCACTTTATATCTTGAGAAGTGGCATCAGAAAAGGAGGAACGGCCCTCACCGCCCATTGCATCCTCAAGAGACAGCTCTTTTCCACGCAAGGCCAGAGTCCAGGTGTGATGGCAGGCTCCCTCGCGCTTGTTAGCATCATGAGGTGTAACTCATGTGATGGTGATACAGGAAGGCGTGGGCCCCCCACCTGACCAGTGCCAGGCCTGGGGTTCGGGGTCCCAAGCTGGTCGGGGAGCAGCACTGCTCCAGACATCACTGCCCGCGGAAGCTGCCGCCGCAGACCCCAGGAGTGCCTGGCTCGCTGTCTCCCCTCCCTGTGCAGTGATGGACATGCCTGCTGGGCACGGGCTCCCACATCCCACCTTTGGGCCCAGTGGGCAGCACCACTTGAGTTTTCCTGTAATTTCCCTGCGTGCCCAGGGGTGGCACCATTCCAGCACTCTGGGAGGCTGAGGCGGGAGGATGTTGAGTTTGAGCCCAGTTTGGGCTACTTAGCAACTTAGCTAAGACCCTGCCTCAAGATGAAAAATAAGATGAACAAACAGGTTTGGGGTCGGAGCTTAGAACAAGGCCTGGAAAACGCCACAGAAACAGTAAACATCCACTGTGGGCCATGCGCCCAGCCCGTCCTGAGAATCAGCTCTGCGCCCAGCGCCCCTGGGAAATGTCAGCACGGGTGGGACGCGGAGGCCATCACGGCCACTAGACGGCTTAGTGACTCAGTGTTGGCCCCTCTGTTTTCTGGGAGCCACTCCTCCTCCTCCGGGACCTGCTCTGAGCTCTTCCTGGCGGCCAGGGACAGGTTGGCTGCCAGGGCGGGCAGGGACATTTAGT